GCAAAGGGGCTGACGCCGTGACAGAACCGACGCGCCACTGATCCGTGATCTGATCGTCAGTGATAATGTCTGTAAGCAAGCCCATGCTAAACGTATGGGTGAAGTCGAGTCTACCATTGTATCTCCCTCATTTATGCGCTCCTCCTATTTTAACCGCGAAGAGGAGGAATGCGTCAACGGAAAGGTACAATTGAAGGTCTTGCTCCGCCCATACGACCAGCGTGGACTGCGCCAACAATCCTGTGAAGATTCAAAAGAGCAAAAAACAGAAAAGACAAACCCGTTCGCTCTTGCGGCCCTGTTATCTTCCATATTGTCATTATGAGCCCTTCCATTACATTTTTGATTATCACCTTTGCTAGAATTAACGTCATCCTCGTATATCACCTGAGAAAAAACAATAGGTCGCAAAATTGTTAAAAATAGGGAGGAAACGCATTCAAATACCTTTTTCCGTATAGACACTACTTTCCTGATTTCATTGAAAGCCATCTTCGTGGCGCATAAAGCGTCTTCCTGGTAAGCCGAGGAGGTGGCAATAAGAAGTGACGTTTCCCCGGCTGGAATCGCACCAACTCTGGAAATAACAAATAGAAGTAAGAAAGCATCCAAACGCTAATCAATCACTTTTTGGATGCGCCACGCATTTCATTTCTTTTCAGAAAGGCACTGACCTTCAAATTAGGCCTACATAATCATTTACGGGGCAGCCATTGTACAAGTGGAGGTTTTTGTCGTTAAAGGCGCGTCTCATTCTACCAACTAGCCAACCAATATCGAAGGAATATAAGTCTTGTTGAGTCTACCTCTTTAGTGCATCTATTCTCCTAGTAGAGTGAGGAAGAGGGATGCGCCTGTAGGCTAGCTGAAGTAAGGCCTAAAACTACCCGTTTGACCCTCTCAATCCCCCCCCTAAACTTTTGATTACCGTCTTGCAAAGCGTGCGCGCTTCTCTTTAGATCTTACTGATTCCGTGAACACTTTGATTTATACCTGTGGAAAATCACAACACGTTCCACTGCAGGGTACTTATTTCGTATTCGTCCACAAATATTCCGCAGTTCCTGAAATATCCTATCAATGTTGAAGACACATCCCCAATGTCCAGCTGAGCCGGAGACGTACAAGAGCTGTGCCTTCCTCACTGGTGTGGCCCAACTTTCAAATATGGTGAGGAAGAACGACATATCAACGAGGAAGAAACAATGCTCGTGAGTCTCCGCCCATCGACTATCGCAAAATGTGTCTTTTAGACCGCGTTCACTTCGCGATCCGTTTGCTTCTGATCGTGCAATCCAATCGTTCGATCCGATCGCGAAGTCTGAACGCGGTCATAGAAAGTAAATATGACAAATGATGCACAACCTTGTGAGCCATCTCATCGTCGCTTTCGTAGTAGTGTCGTAAAACTTTCTTTCCACCGCAAACGTCAGGAGTGGTTTCAGCGAACATTGACGTAGGGCCACATGCTGGACTAAAGTGTATGATCACTACACAATACATAAATGCAAGAGGGGACAAAGAATAAATTACCTGGTAAGAAGCTTCATCATTTCTCCAACATCCAAAGGATTGTTAGAGATCCGAACAATATCGTCAAAAAACGACCGGATCAGCTTAAAGAAGACTGCTTTCAAACTCCAAACTGTCCAACATATGTGAGAAAGAATACAGTACGCGCGTAAAATCAATATCCATCTCGCAACACAATTGGGATGAGTAAATATGGGACCGCCTTGTTATTGTGTTAGCAGTTTCGCGACCGAAAATGGTGGGCAACCGGACTCGATTACTGATGACAATGTGGCAATTAACTCGGCAGTGAAGAAAAAACCTTAAGAAATTGCTCCAGATAAGACCCACCGCTGATCCCACCTCGTGCGACTGTGTGGCGGAGAGAGGAATGCTCGCGCGGTATCATAACGATATCAGCTCTTTTCCCTTATCACTCATTCTGATCATTTGGAATGGAAGGAGTTGGTGGCGCGGAACAACAGCACCACCGGGAAGCCTTTTGGAATTAAATGTGAGAGTTGCATTGGGCAGTGGGCGGGGCGTTGACCTCAATACGAGTGGGTGGCGTCCCTAATACGTATTTTGAGCCGCGAAAATCCTGTGCTCTTCGATGTGCCGGTTTAGCACTGTAGTCCTGTCCGCAAGAGCAGAGATCGCAATACCCTCTGCTCTTGCGGGCATGACTACAGTGCTAAACGATGGAGTCTGTGAAATAAGTGAACGCGAGACATACCACAAAGAAAAACTAACACCGGGAATAAAACGAAAATCGAAAGAAAGTCTTACCGATGTTATAAATTCCTCACTAGGATGGTCCGAGTCCGTGGTCACGTCGAAAAAGGAGATACTCCCATTCTTCCTTGCAGTCAGCAGAGCACGCTG